TATTAAAGGTAGAAAGTGGTTTCATTCTAAACTGACATTACAAAGTGTATGCGTTAATTTGATGATCATTTAGGGTATATTCCAACAAAAGAAGAAAAAAATTAGCTAATTCAGACCGAATACCCGTGTTCTCTTTCAAAGGAGTACCTTTATTTCATCTTTTATGACTTGTTTTGAAGGCAGAGAATTCCAAGTCTTTCCCTTAACAGGAGAATTAGCAAAAACTATCTCCCATGCCCACTCAAGCTGTTTCATCTGCTCAAGTACTTGTTTTTCATCGATGGTACTTATGTATTGTTTCTTCTTTCTGTATTTTCTCCAATCTCTCTCCAATCTCTTTGCATAACGCAAGTGGTCATGCGCAAAGGCCATAGATGTTTTTAGAGTTGAAGGAAAAAAAAATCAAGACCAAGACAAAATGGAACTAATACTTGTAGAAGTGAATGCAAATTATGCCATATCCCACTCGATTATCAATCTCTTCTAGCAAGAGAGATGTATGTGCATAGCCGACGTCTCTTCTTCTGTGTCTTGCATTGATCTCTCTCAGTAATTTCTTCTCCTTCGCTGAACTGTTGGTTTGATGCAAGATTTGGAAATGCAGTTTCTGGATTTAAATTGGAGCAAATAAATAAGACCAGGAAAGAGAAGAGAAAGCAGAAAAATAGAGTAATATGTGTGTAGGCCTTCATCCATACATGGATATCAATCCCTTCGTCAGTTTTGATTGCCATGTCCTTGTATGCATTGTTTGCAAAAGTTAATTTATCAGGGTTTCGTTTAAGAAAACCATTTTTCTTTCCCGTAGGGGTTGCATCCCATCTGGATACCCTCTCTTTATTCTTTAAGGATTTCAAGTTTGAAATTACACGATCTCGATCAAAATGTTCGAAAGATCCAACAAAATGAAAGTAATATGATCTCATAAGCAAACTCTTTCATTTAATCTGTTACGTGCAGGAATACCCTTTGTACTTTCTTAATTTAATCCATTTTATTTGCTGATCCAATAAACAAAAAAAAAAAAAGGGAAAAATCTTCATTTGGGTATGTTGGATACTTTCTTCTCTATTAAAAAATTTTTGTGAATAGTTCTCTGCATCACAAGAACAAAGGGCATGCAGATGGGAATTGGCAACCAAAAATGGAAAACGACACCTACCATTCTGTAATTTCACCAAACCAGAAGTCCTTCTTCAGTCCGCATCTTCACTTCGGATGTACTTGCAAAGCCCCGAGGTGGGTCTTCGGGGCAGACACTCCGATGCTTAAGTCAACAACAATCGGGGCTACCTTTAGGGTGAAGATAAAAAGAGCTTAAAGTTGGTTTCGATTACCTTTCTGAGGTGGCCCTTAGGGGATATTTATAGGCCTTCGTGAGGTATCCACGTGGCTTGCTTAGCAGGATGATCGGAGTGTGACGTGTCCCTTAAAGAGATAAATTCGGGACCGGCGACAAATTCGGGACCGACGACAAATTCGGGACCGGGGTATTGTGTGATAAATCAGGTATGGGCATACCCACTATATTTACTGTGCAGCTGTTTGACTAGAAGTGCTGGATTTAACTTCACTTCGGCTATTAATAAATTATAGCAGTACGTCCGAGGTCCTTAACCTCGGACCTATCCTTACACTATTCCCCCTTCGAAGTCATTCACTTGTGAATGATTAGTGTGGAAGATGAATGTAGATGGGGGTAGTCAATATAAAAATGTATGACATGAAGTCGTGTTTTTGACTGCAGTCAAGGTAAAAAAGCATGACATAAAGTCATGTGTTTTGGGTCATAGCCAAGGAAAAAATGCATAACATGGAGTCATGTGTTATAGCCGTAGTTGAAGTAAAATTGATGACTCAATCACTGTGACCAGAGCTGAAGTAATATAGGTGACGTGTGGTCACTATGGCAGGAGCTGAAGTAAAATAGGTGACTTGGGGTCACTATGGCTAGAGCCGAGTTAAATAATGATGACCGGAGTCATAGCGGCCAGAGCCGAAATAATAAGTAATGACCGGAGTCATGTGGCCAAAGCTGAGGTAATAAGTAATGACCGGAGTCATGTGGCTAGAGCCAAGGTAATAAGCAATGACCGGAGTCATAAGGGCCGGAGCAGAAATAAAAGTAATGATTGAAGTCATGTGGTTGGAGCTGAAATAAAATGTGTGACTCAGGGTCACTGTGGCCGTAGCTGAAGTAAAGATGCATGACCCATAATCATGTGTTATGGTTGTAACTGAGAATGATGACTTGAGAATGATGACTTGAAAATGACGACTTGAAAGTGACGCTTTGTAATCTCATGAGCCATAATAATGGAAGTTAGGCTTTTGAGAGTCATGCTTTATAGAGCTAGGATCAAAACCAGTTTTTGTAGAGTTGATTGAATGCCAATTTTGGTAGCTGGAGATGCTTACCACAGAACCCCACCTTGAGATGCCCATAAGAAAATCTTAGTCTCTCGAGTGATAGCATAAAATCAAACCCCTTTGAGGGTTGTGCTTTGCAGAGTTAAGATTGAATTGAGCTTTCATAGAACAAATGAGCTGAGAAGCTGATAGCTAATGGACGCAAGCTCTTGTAGATCAAATGAGCTAAAAAAGCCAATAGCTAATAGGTTCAAGGGCCAATAGTATTTTTTGATGAACTGATAAGTTTGAAAGCTAATAACATATTTCTGAGTCTTCCAAGCCAAGGAGTTAACAAACTCATGAGACTTGTAAGAATTCATTCTAAACATAGAACTTGACAAGATACCATT